CCGCTCCTTCGCTGAGCCCCTGGCCCACACCTTCTCCCGGACCGCGGTGGCCTCAACGTCTTACAAGTTCAGGTAGGGCCACCAAGGGCTGGCTGTCGCTTGCATTGGTGGTTCAGTGGTAGAATTCTCGCCTGCCACGCGGGAGGCCCGGGTTCGATTCCCGGCCAATGCACACGCTGACTTTTTGTTTTTTTTCCCCTCCCGTTGGCCCCAAATGGGGAAGAAATCTGCCTGAGAAGTTTGTCTATTTAACTCATCTTTTTTACCATAAGGTAGAGCTTGACGCTCTGGATGGAGATCCGAAGGCCGAAAGTCCTCCCACTGCCGTCCTCCCAGCCCGCGAGTCCTGCGGCCTTCCACACCCCTCCCTCCGCCCCCGGCTCCGCATCTCCGCAGGCGTCACCCTGAGAAAGGACACGCCGCTCGGATCCCTGCCCCGGGGGTCCTCCCACCCTCCGCGGGGGCGGGGCGACGCCTTCCCGCCCTACGCGCCCTAAGTCCCGGGCCCTTCCGGCCATTTCTCTTCCTCGCCCTCTCCATTTTCTGTCCTCCCTGAACTGCGCTTTCTTTTTCTAAGTCCGTGGGTCCTGGTCTTCCTGTTATCGCGGTCTTTCTGCGCCCCCGCGGCCGCCGCGGCGTCTCTATCTCGGCATCTCTCGCGTTCCTGCCAGCTGCCTTAGCGACGGCCGTGCGCCCTCTCTCGGTCTCCAGCGGTCTCCGCGCGTCTCTAGCTCCGGGTCTCTCCGGCGCGCCCGGGTCTCTCATCTCTCTCGTCTCTCCGGGTCTCTGTCGCCTCCCGGCACTCTGCGCTCCCACGCTCCTGCCAGCCCCTGGGAAGCTCGCTCACACCTCGGTCCCTACCCGCCCCGACCCCGCCACCTCCCGCCCCGCCCCTTCCCGGCCGCTTTGATCCCGCACGCGTCGGGGCCGGCGGGCGGCCGGGTGTCCCCCGCCAGCTGCCGGCGGCCACTTGTGAGCAGAGGGGAGGCGGGAGAGGGCGGGGGCGACCCTGGGCCCCTGGCCTGCCGCGCTGCTGCCCGCTGGCCTCCCTCCGCGCCGCTACCCGGGCTCCCGCGGGCCCGGGTCCCTGGTTCGCGGAGTCTGGGTCTCTGTCTGGAGCTCGCCCTGCGTCTGTGTCTCCGCCTCCGGTTTCTGCCTCCTGTCTCTCTCAACCTGTTTCGGCTGCGGGTCTCGTGTCTCTGGATTGTGTCAGTGACCAGGGATGCTCTCTTCTCTACTCAGGCGCGATAGCGACTCCCAGAAGGAAACTGTGCGACAATCTGGGAATCTGTACATCTGTGTGCACAGCCTCTCTGTTACTCATTCAGTCGATATTTATGGAGTGCGTCTGTGTGCCAAGGACGGTTAGGGCTCTCCCGAAGCCCTACATCTTGTGGGGAGGGGAGCGTAGAAAATGAAACATCAGATGGTCATGGGGGGGGG